GAAATTTCGAAAAGCTGTGATGATGAATCAAGGTACAAAGTAACCGTTTTATCAATTATTGAAAAATCAAGAGAAAAAAAAGGAAATTTCCCTTCCGCTACATTAAGATCAATATGGACCACCGAAATTTGCTTTCATTTAAAAAAAAATAAACCATAATTTTCAGTAATACTGACTTCGAAAATTATGATACAAAAATAATTACAATCATACCACAAAACAACGCCGTTTTTGTTTACTTTTCACAACTGTTACAAAGTATTTTATTTCCGGTAGTTAAAATACCAGCTGATCGATCCTAGACCACAAGTTTGGAGTCCGTTTATGATCTAAACGAAGGCAGACGATTGCAAACAACTGCTATCATGGCAAAACGTTGCACATCGTGAATGATTTTTTCACTGCATGCAAATTATTTTCCTTGATGCACTCAACAAAGTCAAAGCTGACGTACAACATTCGTTGCAGAACGCATGAAAAGTACTTCACGTTCCACTCGATTTGAAGCTGCCGCCTATGCTAATGAGCATAGTCGTCGGGACGAAGCCTTACAACTCCAATATGGCGAAATGTCGCCGGTATATAGTGTTTACACACTTTGTTTACCGTACCATTTTTACCATTTATAACTTAATTTTTTATAAGGCATGCGGTGAACCCTTACACTCTAAATGAGAAGTAATATTACGGGCATCAACCATTGGGATTCGCACATTTCGACCAACCAATCAATGGGAATCGTGCTCTTTGCAGAGTGACACTCCGATCCTGTGGCAGAGTGAAATAATCGTCATTCGACGAATCGCACAATCGCGTCGCAGAGTTAGTTTTTAGACCCCGTTACATACATGGGCCCGGGGTACATTGGTACTTGCCAGGGTGTGTCAAATATGAGGAGAACTTAACATCTGTGCAGTAAAGTGAATAATTGATAAATGAATCAAAGTGACATTATATTATATTTCTCTGGTTCTCGGCGTCCCTTGTGGCAAGTAAGACGCAGGTTACTAGTAATTGCCATGTTGTTCAGCTGGACTACTTGATTTATATAAATATTTATAAATATCACAACTCAAACCGAAACAATAAGTTTCTATTTTCAAATGATGTCATTACAGACTGTACTTCTCCCATAGAAACTTATAATGATGACACGAATTTGTTTTATACATGTATAAAAATTCAAAAAGTATTTTATAAATTAATAATGCTGATTGAAAATAACCTGATATGCCACATGTATTAGCGGATGAATACCCTTCTGTATAATTTCACTGTGGTCAACACTTGCTTGCTTCCCTAAACATAGATATGATTCGTAATTGAATGTTCTGTGGGTTTCAGTTATGTTTTGTTCCTTTTACTTCTGAAGATATAGCCTATCAAACTTGATGGGCTCAATTTCATGAGTGGGTCGGTCTGTCATCTTACAGTATGGCTCTTACTCAATATCAGATATACAGTGCATTATTAGTGGAAAGAAAGATTACATTTTCAATAGGCCCAATGTTCAAAAATGTCTCTAAAAATGCAATAAATTGTTTCTTCTTATTTAGCTGTGGGTAATCAAACTGATTTATCGTCAATCAGTATGCAAATCATATCCATTGTTTTTCATCTCATTGAGTGATCCCAAAGTACATGTACCATACTAGTAATTGATATATGACAATAGAAATCTCATTGTAATACTGACATGCATGTCCAAACAAAGTGAACAAAAATAATCTTGCTGTTAAATAAAAGTTGCTTAATATTTCTGAATTTATACTATGTACGCTCACTTTTGTTTGTATTCATATTGTTTTGTATATACCGATGCTTTTTTCACATTTATAACACTATCTTTATTTATTGTTGTTTGATTTCAGATACAATCCTGAAAACCTTGGCACATTGGAACGATATGTGGAATTACAGTCAAAGGAAAATGCATATGACCTTGAGGCCAACCTAGCTGTCCTAAAATTGTAAGTATATGCATAGTTACTACGGTTTCTGCTCAATTCAATTTCACCACTGTCTATAAACTTCTTTTTTTTCACAAAATAACTAAACAATTGTTTTCCATATTCTTCAAAAATTGTTAGCAATGGCAAATTTTGTTTATTTTGTTCAAAATTGACCAAAATATTAGAATCAAATTGTAAAAAAATATTACAGGAAATATTATGGTATTCACAGGGTTAATTAGTAACAAACAGTTAATGTTAATGTGTGTTTTATGTGTGTTTTTTATTATGACTCGCATGATTTGTTCGCAGGTACCAGTTTAACCCAATGTACTTCCAGTTGAATGTCAGTGCACAGATTTTACTGAAAGCCCTGACAAACCTGCCACATACAGACTTTGTACTTTGTAAATGTCTTATAGATGATGTACATGTATCCTTTTCACTTTACACTAATTTATGTATGCTTTGAGCTATATTTTTTATTAAAGCTATTTTAAATCTATGTAAAATTACAATAGATCTGGTTTTTCTACTTGAAAACCTGTGAATTTAATCCCCTCTTCCAAAAGTAAAAATTTCAAAATAATAAAATTAACCCCCCCCCTCCCATTTTTAGCTCCGCTGTTGACAAGTCGACACAGCGGAGCTGTTCATATTACTGATTGTCGCCGTCGTCGTCAACTTTATAATTTCAACTTCTTCTTCGAAACCGCAAGTCAGAATTTTAGACTCCCGTGTGCGAAGCACAAAAGGGAGTCTTTGCAGTTACCCTGTCTGTATGTCTGTATGTCCGTATGTCTGTATGTTCGTATGTCTGTATGTCTGTATGTATGTATGTATGTATGTCCGTATGTATGTCACTTTTTTTGTTCCACCGTTATCTCAAGAACCACTAATCAAATTTTGGTGAAACTTGGTACATAGATGCTCTGGGATAATGCGCAGAGTTGATTAGGTTTTGGTAAAAAATCTATGAATATTAATTACCTAATTTGCATGATAATTAGCTGATTTTTAGCTGTTCCATGACTGTTCCACTGATATATGAAGAACCACTCATTGGATTTTGATGAAACTTGGCACATGGATGCTCTGAACTAATGCGCAGATTTGATTTGTTTTTGGTAAAAATCTATGAATATTAAATACCTAATTTGCATGATAATTAACTGATTTTAAGCTGTTCCATGACTGTTCCACAGATATTTGAAGAACCACTCATTGGATTTTGATGAAACTTGGCACATGGTTGCTCTGATCTAAT